TACCAAAACCTATGGGATGCAGCAAAAGAAATTCTGAGGGAAGTTCACAGCGATAAAAGTCTACATTAGGAAAAAAGAAAGATCTCAAATAAACAACTTAACTTTATACTTCAAGAAACTAGGATAACAACAAACTAAGCCCAAAGTTAGTATAAGGAAGGAAATGACAAAGATCAGAACAGAAATAAATGAAGTAAAGACTAATAAAACAATAAAAAATATCTATGAAACCAAAAGCTGGTTTTTTGAAAAGATAAATGAAATAGATAAACTTTCAGCTAGACTTGCCAAGAAAAAAAAAGGACTTAAACATATGAAATTAGAAAGAGGAGACATCACAAATGACACAACACAAATACAAAAGATCATAAGAGATGACTATGAACAATTACATGCCAACCAATTTTTCTTTCTTGCTTTCATCTTTCCCTCCTTTTTTTTTTTTTTTTTGCCTACTCTGGTTTTAATTATTTTATGAGATTCTATTTTCTCTCATCTGTTAAAATAGCAATTATACTTTTTATTTTTAGTTTTAAAGATTTATTTATTTGAGAGAGAGCGCGCACATATGCATGAGGAGAGGGAGGAGCAGAGGGAGAGAGAGAACCCTCAAGTAGACTGCCTGCCAAACACAGAGCCCGACAGGAGGCTCAATCCTAGGACCCCAAGATCATGACCTGAGCCAAAATCAAGTCAGATGCTCAGCCGACTGAGCTGCCCAGGTGCACCAGCAATTAATTATATTTCTTAAAAATGTTTTAGGAGTTTCCCTAGAATTCCCAGTATACAAGCAAGTTAAGTCTACTTTCAAATAACACCATACCACTTCATGGGTAGTGAAGGTACCTTATAAGAGAATATTCCCAATTCCTCCTTCCTCTTTTATAAGATTTCTGTCATCCATTTCACTATCCACAGACTATAAACACTTAACATCGTATCACCATTATTATTTTGAACACAAGTCCTCAATTACACCAATTAAAAATAAAAATGAAATATTATATCTTCATTTACTCATTCTCTGGTGTTCTTTGATTCTGTATATAAACTCTAATTTCTGACTCATGTCATTTTTCTTTTTTCCAAAGAACTTCTTTAAACATTTCTTGCAAAGTAAGTTACTTGCAAAGCATGTTTCTTCATTCCTTTAGGTGGACTCAAATTTCTGATTCATACCATCTTTCTTTTTTCTGAAGAAGTTCCTTAAACATTTCTGGCAAAGCAGGTTTCCAATTCCCATATTTTTTGTTTATCTGAGAATATCTTCATTTCTACTTCATTTTTGAAGGACACTTTCATTGCACATAGCATTCCAGGTTAATGGTTTTTTTCAGTCTTTTAACTATTTCATTCCATTCTCTTCTTGTTTGTAAGATAAGTCTGAGATAAATAATCCTCAATCCTCTATCAGTGAGGTTTTGTTTCTTCTGGATTTTGTCACTGTTTCCTGATTCTACAGGTTGAATATAATATGCCTAGTTGTAATTTTTTTTTTTTTTCTCCTTCTTGGTGTTCTCTGAGCTTCCCGGATCTGTAGTTTGGTGTTTGTTAATTCTGGAAAATTCTCAGCCATTATTACTCACTTCTGTTCCTCTCTGTCCTTCTTTTGGTGTATGTGTTGTACATTTGTTATACCTTTGTAATTGCTGCACAGTTCTTGGATATTCTGTTTGTTTTCTTTTCATCTTTTTCTCTGTATTTTTCAGTTTGAGAAATTTGTATTGACATATCTTCACAGTCATTGATGCTTTCCTCTGTTCTCTCCAGTCTACTGATGGACCCATGAAAGGGATTCTTCATTTCACTTACAGTTTTGCTTTCTGAAATTTACTTCTGATTTTTTCTTAGAATTTCTATTTCTCTTACATTACCTAGTTTTGCTTCTGTGTTGCCCACTTTTTCCCATTAGAGCCCTTAGCATATTAATCATAGCTATTTTATATTCCCAGTCTGATCATTCCCAAACCTGTGCCGTATCTGAGTCTGGGTCTGATGCGTGCTGTGTTTTTTCAGTTTGCATGTTTTCTTGCCCTTAGAATAGCGTGTAATGTGTTTGTTCAAAGTCAGACATCATGTATCATGTTAACAAAAACAGAGGTAAATAGGCCTTTTAGTATTTTTAAAAACCTTTTAGGTTTTTATGTTTATCTGTCTAGGAGTTAGGCTGTGTTTACAGTTTGTTGTAGCTATAGGTGGCAGAGACCTCAGTTTTTCCCATGGTATCCTCATTCTGTCTTCCTGGTTGTCTTTGGGTTTCCCTGGAATCTTGTTATTAAATAGAGTGTGCCTTGCAGCTCTCTCAGCTGTGCTTCTCTGTTATAACACTGGATCTCTATTGGTGTGGTGGTAAGATATTGTTGAGGGAAATCATTCCATAATCTTACAATTAAATCTTAGACTTTGTGTCTCTTTCCACCCCCGTGCACCTGAGTCTCTAAGCTGTGACCTTCAGAAGCTTTTCTTAGCTTTTTTTCTCCCTTCCCTTATGTTAGACAGGAAGGTTAGAGAAGGATTGATTTGTCTGATTGCCTTCCTTTTTAAAGTTTGGCAGGGGAAACTCTGGTAAAGCAGTTTCTGACAGGGTAGGCTTCTGTTACAGACAGCGGACTTCTCTTGAGCATATTTCAAATGGTTGTTTTCCCTCTCCTCCTGCCCAAAACACAAGAGGATTTTTCTCTCAGTTTCCACTGTGAGCACCTGGTAGAGCATCTGGATGTTTAGTCATGAAAGTGAGTGGGATCCTCCTACAACTGTGTCCCCAGGAGATTTTAACTCTCAAGTTATTCCATGTTCCACCTCCAGCAATTAGTCAAGTGCCATTTAATATTCAGTTCCAATGGCTTCTGCTCCCAGTAAACTACCATTCTATTTGCCTATCTCTCCACTTTCGGTGGCAGCAGTTTGCCCAGTCTGCCCTCTGCTGTTGATTTTTTTATTTGTTCAACTCTTTTCTTAATGTGAGGATGGGAGTGATGACTTACAAGCTCTTTACACACTGGAGTAGAAACCGTAAGTCCTATTGTTCTTTATTGTTTTTCATGACACTTACTAATATAAAAACAATCTTAGTGTACAGACCATACAAAGACAAGAAATATAGATAGATACCTAAACTATATTGATATATACTTACTTTTATACTTCGAGTTGATATTTTACCACAATATTTAAAATGTGTAAGTCTTATAAACACAGAGGTCCTTTTCTTCTCCCCCTTTATAGTTATCATATGTATAACATCTACAACCTTTGAAAAACTACACCAGACAATGTTATATTTCTCTTTCAATTGTTATATATATTTTAAACTTAAGATGAAAAATTAGTCTACTTACTAGTATATTTATCACTTCTTTTACTCTTCCTTTATCCTTCAAGTTTTCCTCTAGGATTATTTTGCTTCAGACTGAAAAAATACTTAATAATTTCTTTTAGAGCTAATAACCAATTTTATGAGTTATCCTTCACCTGAGAATACCTTTACTTCATTTTCATTCTTGAAGGATATTTTCACTGGATAATGATTTATGAGTCAACAGTTTTGGTTTGGTTTTGTTGTTTTTTGTTTTGTTTTGTTTTGTTTTTGTCTTTCAGGATTCTAAAGATATTGTTTTACTCTCTTCTGAACCCATGGTTTCTGAAGAGAAATTCATAGTAATTTGTATTATTGCTCATATCAATATTGTTTTAACACTCTTATTTGATAATGATGATATCTGGATCCCCTGTGTCTGTCCTATTGTCTGTTTTGTCTCATAATTTTTGGTATTATCTTTTTTTTAGAGTGTTGGTTTTTTCTGCTGCCAGTTAGAGGACTGGATGACCAAATTAATCCATTAGAGACCAAATTAACTCCTGGCTAGGCTCCAGTACTTCTGGAAGGCCCTCACTCTTAGATCTTAGCCTTACAGAGATATCAGAGAACACGTAGTATTCATCACAGTTCCTCTCCCCAGGGTATTCTAAACTCACTCTTATCTACAGAGTATCACAGTACTGCTAGACTTTTCCTACTTTTTATAAGATTCCTGCTTGATTTCAGCCTCTTACATTCATAGTTCAACAAATGTCCTGAGTGAAAACCCAACAGTGTTGTCTCATTTTTCTATCTCTCTCTTCTCTCTGATATCCTGCCCAACACTATTTTTGTCTCTTTAGGTTGATGCATCTGTCACAAATGTGTGCTGATTTCTTGTCATCTAACTAGATGCTTTTTACCCAGACCTTTGCCAAAATTATCAGCTTCTTGCCAATGTCGAGAATTAGCAAATATCTCTAAAGTGTCCAACTGCAAAAAGTTCCTTCTCATCTTAAGGGTCTGCCTTATTCCAGAATTTTGGCCTTTGAATTTCTATTTGCCTAAACAATCCTCTGATGCCTTGAGATAAATTTTTTAAACTTGATTCAGTTTTTTATAGTTGTTCTCAGTGGGAGCATTGATCTGCCACAGGCTACTCCATTGTAGGTAGAAGTGAAACTCTTATTTTTTACTTATTTTACTTGCGCAGTCCTTAGGTTTTCTATTCAAATTCTGTTCCCCTGTGTTTAGTATCAATCTCTGCCAAGTTCTTTGAATTTTTGCATGTTTAGCTTAAAGGAGACATTACTTATACATACTTTCAGATGTACTTCAGTTCTATTCTTTGACGTCTATAAAAAGGCAGATATACCAATTCAGGAACACAAGGTAAGGCTTCGTATAGACAGTATTGTTTTAGTTGTTAGCCACTTTAATACAGAATATTATTTCTTGGTTCTGAATCATTTCAATGCCTTTTTTTCTTTAGTGCTTTATGCACAAGCAGCCATGTCACAAGCTACCATCATGATATTTCTGCCCTTAATATGAAAGGTGAAAGTATGCATTACATTTATTTTACATGTTGAATAATTCCAAGAATGGTATAAACTTATAGGGTTACTAGATAGTTATTAACTGACTGAGAAATACATTGTTGATTCGAATGTAAAAATCCAATATACAAAATAATATTTACCCGTCATAATCTTCATTGATCCCAGCAAGTGGTACTGGATCACAGTGTACAAAAATTACAAACCCAAAGAATATAAGTGATATAACAGATGTAACCATTATAAATCTCATAAGGGCTTTACAAGACATGTGTAACGTGGAAACAATGATACCTCCCAGAAGCTGGCCAAGTCCACCTCCTGGAAGTAAAACAAATCCTAAAAGAAAGGAGGAGGAGGAGGAGAAACCAGTTAAAAAAAAATAGTCAGCTGAAGATAGTACAGAAAATTCATACGTTGATGCAATCCCCCTGCTCTAAACATACAGCAAACATAGATTTAAATAAAAAGACAATGAGAATTTAAAAGCATGATAAACATCTCAACAAACCTGAAACTTAAGAGAAGTACAAATTTGGGAGTAGGGCTAAAGCTATCGGCCTAATGGAATGATGGAGAAGTTTTGCTCCTATGTGGTAATGGCATCTAAGATAAACCCAGAACTTAATCCATGCAAAACAGAAGATAAGAACTTCTTACTCAGAGCATAGTTGCCTGGATCTATACTTTACAGCAAGAGACATGCCCATGACAAGAGTTCAGAAACAGAGATTCATTACCAAAAATTAAACTAAGCCACCCACTGGTTCTGTGAATGGGTGTGCAATATTAACAATCTCACAACAAAGTGGGATTTCAGAATAATCATTATGAGAAATAGTTTTCTTTTCAATCAAGCATAAAGGATTAGATAGAGGCAAGCAGGAGGAGGAAGAAGAGGAAATATAATTAGAAAATACTCAGTCATATGAAAGTAGCACAGTAAATGCATACATTGATGTAATCTCCTTTGCTCCAAACATAAAGAAGTGGCAGATTTAGATAGAAATATAGCAAGAGAAATATGAGGCCAAAAAATGTCCCATTAACATCAGATTAAATCTATATCATTGAGGGTCTGTGGGAGACTTGTAAATAAGTAATTTTAGAATACTCAAAAAGATAAATGAAAATTTAACTTCCATAAAAAGAAATAAAATAAAAAGATAAAGGAATTAAATAAGAGCAGATGAATAAAAAAATAATAAGCCTGGACATTTAAAAATATAATTGCTAAAATAAAAACTGAAGTCCCAGGCCAGAGACATTTGAAAAGTTAGTAACTATGTAATAAAAAAAAAAAAGAGTGAAAGGAGAATAACCAAGAAAAGTAGTTAAAAGACAATGAGTACAGTGGAGAAATATGATAAACATTACCCAGTTGAACAAGGTCAAATTCAAAAGTAGTAAGCCATGGTGATAGTATGCGCCCTTGATATGATTTGATGGAAATGCCACTTTACTTCTGTAATCCTCCCTCTAAAACCCATAACTCCTGTCTAATCACTGGGGGGAAAAAATGAGACAATTCCCAATTAAGGAACATTCTAAAAATACCTGACCAGCACTCCTCAAAACTATCAAGGTCATAAAAACAATGGAAGACTTAGAAGCTGTCAAACTCAATAGAAACCTGAGAGATATGACAACGAAATATAATGTATCCTGAATGAGATCCTGGGATAGAAAAAAAAAGGGGGGGGACATTATATAAAAGCAAAGGAAATAAGAATAAAATATTGACTTTAGTTAGTATTGATATTGGTTCATTAATTATAACAAAACTACCATACTAATGTAAGATGTTAATAAAAGGGGAAACCAGGTGTGCAGTGTATGGGAGCTGTCTGTACTATCTCAAATTTTTTCTGTAAATTTAAAACTAATCAGAAAGTAACTTTAAAAAAAAACACAGTGAGAACAGAATAAGAGGCACTACAAAATGTTTTACAGCACTTGTGAGAAGTATAATGAAATAAATTCCAGAGAAATAATACATGAAAAATTGAAACTGAGAATGAGAAATTTCCATTATTAAAAAAATATTAGTTCTGGGAATAAAAGAACACTCAAACTACTGAGAAGGATTAAGAATAAATAATTAAATCTATCCTAAGACATACAGAAATAAGGTAAGAAAACTTCATATCATCAAAACTAAAGAAAAATTGTAAAATCTGCCAAACGGCATGTTACTTGCAAAAGAATGATAATTTAGCTAATTCATAAAATGATAAAATTAATAATCTAGGCTAGACATGAACACATGCACTCACTCTTGAAGAGTAGGGCTAGTGCGGGCTCCCTGCTCCGCGGGAAGCCTGCCTCTCCCTCTCCCACTCCCCCTGCTTGTGTTCCCTCTCTCGCTGTGTCTCTCTCTGTCAAATAAATAAATAAAATGTTAAAAAAAAAAAAAAAAAGAGTAGGGCTAGTGAACAACCAGTGGGTAGTTAAAATCTCCTGAACAAAACAAAGGGGATAAAATGAAAAAAAAAAAAAAAATTAGTCCATTGAGAGAGGACAGGATAGTAGGGGGAAAAAGAAGCAAATTGAAGAGTAAAAAACAAAGAAATATAAGTAAGAAGTTAAAAGTTACTTAAAAATGTCAGAATCCACAATAATGGTAAATGGATAAAGCTTAACTATTAAAAAGATTATCAAATTGGGTGTTTTTTAAAGGAAAGTCTGAAAATGAAGTACTAAAAAAAAAAAAAATGTGCCATGAAATGTAGTTCATAAACAGGTATATACCTAATGACATTGTATAAAATAAATTATGTTAAAATTGCCCAGAAAATTAAAAATCCATAAGCAAAGTATTTTGACCCCGCTTTCTCATAAACAGAGACTTAGCTTACAACATTACTAAAGATATGGAAAGTATTATTCGATGTGAACAGTTATTTAAAAAGAGAAACAAAACCATATGTTTAAAAACTAAAAATCTTTTCTCAATAAGACATGAATTAAATAAAAATATAATGATAATCATAATTTAAAAACACTTAGAAAAATAATGAAAATTACAATTAAATGTATGAGATGCTACTAAGGAAAATCTATAAATAATTGTACCACCATGATAAGGTTTTTAGGAGAATTACATGAGTCAATATTTAATTGCTTAGAAAAGTGTCAGGGCACGAAGTAAACATATGAATGTTTGAAAAAACGTAGACATTCACAAACAAATTCACTAAAAAGCAAAAAAAGTACAAATAAATAGAGTGGGGGCAATATTTATCAAGAAAATTGTGGGAATTGGAACTGAATCAGGAGACTTCAAAGTGTGAGAAGTAAGCTTGAAGGTAAGGAAGTTAAGAAGAGGGAAACCACCTTTTACCCCAGAATCTCAGAAATGAAGGGCAATAGGTACCACTAAAAGCAGGAGTGAGATAAAGGTAAAAACAAGGGGAATGGATGGCAATCTATATAAAATGTTTGAGCTCCAAGTCTATCCCCATCTCTGTGCCATATAACTGACCCAGGAAAAGGCCCTTGGTTTATTCAGCTTGAACCCAACAACTACAGACTTCAGAAAACCACAAACATTTGTGAGCAAAAAACGGAGAACCCAACTCAGCTAGGAAAATATTGGCTGTCAGGCTATTGCCCTAGGCAATAAGAAAATACTGGGCACAGAGAGTTCAACAATTAAATGGCTAGCTCTTTGAAGGCTACACCAAAAGGAAACAAAACAGTTGAAAACTCAACCAATGCACAGAACTTCCAATCAACTTTTTATGTAAAGATTTCACTGGTGTAGAGAAAAGTACACAAATCACATTTGCACATACTGATGACTTTTCAAAATAACTGTTTCTATGAAACTACCACCCAGATCAAAAATCCAACATTGCCAGAAGATCAAAGGCTCTTTCATGCACTTATAGGATTTTATAAAATATGGATCATAAAGTATGTATATATTAAGGCTTTTTTTGTTTGGTATGATGTCTGAAAAATTCACCCATGTTTTTATATATGACAATAGATGATGCCTTCTCATTGCTGAATAGCAATCTAGAATACACATACACCACAACTTATTCACTGTGATATTGTGAATTGTGGTGCAACTTTAAAAATTCATGTACATGTCCTTCTTTAAACATTTGCACTTCCTCTAGGTATATTCTTAAGAGAGGATGTAACATGGAGTGGAATTCCTGAATGTGAATATGTATATGTTCAGATTTTCATGATACTGCCAAACAGATTCATAAAATGGTTAAACCAATTTACACTTTCACCAGTAGTGGATGAAATGCTACCACTCCACGTCCATGCCAACAAGTATTTCCCTTTTTCATTTTAGCCATTGTGGTGAATGAATAATATTATTGTGTTGTGGTTTTAATATGCATTTCCCTAAAAACCAATTAAGGTGAACCCACTTTCATATGAATATTGGCCAATGGATATCATCTTTGATTGAATACTTTTTCAAGTCTCTTGTCCATTTTTATTGAATTATCCGCCTTACTATTGACAGATGTTTTTACATATTCTATTTTTTTTAAGATTTTATTTATTTGACAGAGAGGGGGAGAGAGAGAGAGAGAGCACACACAAGCAGAGGGAGAGGGGAGGGGAGAAGCAGGCTCCCTGCTGAGCAGAGAGTTGGATGCGGGGCTTGATCCCAGGACCCTGGGATCATGACCTGAGCCAAAGGCAGATGCTTAACTGACTGAGCCACCCAGGTGCCCCTATTTTTACATATTCTAGACATAAATTCTTTGTAGAATATTTCTATTGAAAAGATTGTCTGCCTTCATTTTTACTCTTTATGCTGACATTTGATGAACAGAAGTTCTTAAATTTTAATGTAATACCATTTATTTTTTCCTTTATGGTTATGTGGTTTCTGTCCTATGTAAAAAATCTGTCTTCACTAAGGCCATTAAATATTTTCCTGTGTTTTATTCTAAAAAGCTTTATAATTTTATCATTCGCATTTAGATCTACAATACATCTAGAATTAGTAGTTGGATACATAGTAAGGTAGAGGTCAAGATTTACCTTTTTCATAAGGATATCTAATTGACTCAATATCACCAATATCTAATTGACCCAACTATTTGTTTTAAAGCTACATTGTTGAGGGCATGCCCACGTATAATTGTTTCATCTACCTCACTGCCTGACTCTGCTGTCATTGTAAATGATCGCTTCATAACAAGTAATGCCTCTTTCTTTGAAGAATACGATACTTAAAATTACTATAGTTATACCATCTTTTCTTCTGGCTAGCATTCACATAGAACTTTTTCTATCCTTTGACTTTCAACTTTTCCATGTCCTCATATTTAAGGAGTGCCTCTTGCAAGTAACATACTAGATTGTGTGATCAATCTAACAATCTTTATTTATATGTAATAAAATTACTATCATTTATTGGGCAGCAATTCTCCACATATCTCATGTTTCTGCATATCTAGCAAGCAGAATCATTGACTGATTTTTGTTCTATCTCTTCAAGGATATTTGTATAGTGAACAAACAACCTTGGATAATAGAGATAGTGTTCTCCTCAAGAAGAGATGGCAAGTTTGCTTATAGTTTTGGAAAACAGAGATTGTGTCTCTCCTGGAACCAAGAGAAGATACATTTACTGTCAAGTATAATAAAGATAATGTCTTCTTTTGGATCAAAAGGTAAGATTTATGCTGACATTTGATGAACAGAAGTTCTTAAATTTCAGATCAATCTTTTCAATAGAAATATTCTACAAAGAATTTATGTCTAGACAGTTGATTACTGTGTATTATGAGATTTATGTTCCTCCAGAGTTGTGCTCACATTCATTACCTAACTTGCTTACACTGTGCCCTGGACCCCCAGATTTTGATGGATCCACCCTTCCCAGTCACATTTGCCTCAGTCCCGGTGCTGCAGAAGTCTTCCCCCAGAAGACTAGTGCAACCTTGCCAACACCAAACATCCCAACTCACATGTTTTAAGGGCCTCAGTGCCAGCAGCAGCAGGAGCGGGCCCTGTGGAAGCCTGAGGTGTACCTCATTAAAACTGGGTGCCCCACCCCAGCTGGGGACTCATTACTGCCCACAACAGGTAAAGAGACCCTTTTCAGTTGAAAGGACTGAAGGAAAAAGCAGCCAGGACACAAGAGCCGGGCACAAGCAACATACATAGGAGATACCCCTGAAGTACCAGGTTCCGGGGAACAGAGGACTCTGCACTGCAGAGCACTACAGGGCCTCTTCTTCATAAGGCCATTACTTTCAAAAGTAGAAGACATAGCTGATCTCCCTAACAAAGAGATACAGACACAGAGGATTAGACAAAATGAGGAGACAGAGGAATACATCCCAAATGAAATAACAGGACAAAAAAAAAACCACAGCAAGAGATCTAAGTGAAACAGATATAAGTAGTATGCCTGATGGAGAATTCAAAGTAATGATCATAAAGATACTCACTGGACTTAAGAAAAGAGTGGAGAGTATCAATGAGACCCTTAAAAAGGAGATAGAAAACACAAAAAAGAACCAATCAGAGATGAAGAACACAACAAAGGAAATTAAAAATACACTAGATGGAATAAATAGCAGGCTACAGGAAGTGGAGGAACAAATTAGAGATTTGGAGAACAGAGAAATGGAAATAAATCAGGCTGAGCAGGTGAGGAAAAAAATTATGCAAAATGAGAATAGACTTACAGTACTCAGTGACTCCATCAAGCATAATAACATTCACATTATAGTGATCCCAGAAGAAGAAAGAATAGTTGGATATTCCCTAATCTGGGGAAGGAATCAGTTATCCAGATCCAGGAGGCACAGACATCCCCCAACAAAAATCAACCCAAGATGTCCACAACAAGATACACAGTAATTAAAAAGGAAAGAAGCAGTGATAAAGAGAGAATTTTAAAAGCAGTAAGAGAAAAGAAGACAGTTACATACAAGGAAAACACCATAAGGCTATCAGCAGATTTCTCAGCAGAAAGTTTGCAGGCCAGAAGAAAATCTACAGCCAAGAACATTCTATCCAGCAAGGCTAACATTCAGAATAGAAGGAGAGATAGAGTTTCCCAAACAACAGCTAAAAGAGTTCATAACCACTAAACTAGCCCTATTCTACTTTACTTTTACTTTAAATGTAAATGGTCTAAATGTTCCCATCAAAAGGCAGTGCAACTGAATGGATTAAAAATAACATGTATCTCTCTCTCTCTAAAAAAAGGCGGGGGGCACCTGGGTGACTCAGTTGATTAAGTGTCCAACTCTTGATTTGGGCTCAGATCATGATCTCAGTGTCATGAGATCAAGCCCACATCAGGCTCTACACTGGGCATGGAGCCTGCTTAAGATTCTCTCTCTCCCCTTCTGCCCCTCCCCCCACCTCTCTCTCTCTCTCAAATAAATAAATAAAATAGCATTTATGTGCTGTCTACAAGAGACACATTTCAGACACATGAAAAGATGTTCAACATCACTCATCATCAGGGAAATGCAAATTGAAACCACAATCAGATATGACCTCACACCTGTCAGAATGGCTAGAATTAAAAACACAAGAAATGAAACAAGTGTTGGCAAAGATGTGGAGGAAAAGGAACACTTGTACACTGTTGGTGAGAACACAAACTGGTACAGCCACTGTGGAAAACAGTATGGAGGTCCTCAAAAAATTAAAAATAGAATTACTTTATGATCAAGTAATTCCTCTACCAGGAATTTTTCCAAAGAATACAGAAACACTAATTCAGAGGGATATATGCCTCCCTATGCTTATTGCTTTATTTACAAAGCCAAATTATAGAAGCAGCCAAAGTGTCCACTGATTGATTAAGGGATAAAGACAGTGTGGAATATATATACAGTGGAATAAAATAATGCAATCTTGCCATTCACAGCAGTATGGATGGTCCTAGAGGGTATAATGCTGAGCGAAATAAGTCAGAGAAAACAAATACCATATGATTTCACTCATATGTGGAATTTAAGAAACAAAACAAATGAACAAAGAAAATAAGGGACAAACAAAAATCCAGATTCTAAATACAGATAACAAGCTGGTGGTTGCCAGAGGGGAGGTGGTGGTGGGGGTAGGTAAAATAAAGAAGATTAAGAGTACACTCATTGTGATGAGCACTGAGTAATGTATAGAATCATTGAAAAATAATAAAATAAAATAAGATAAATAAAACTTGAGCAAATGCTATTACTCCTACTTTATGCTTATTTGAAATATTTCATAAATACATATAAGAAAACTTTATATAAAAACTTCAAAATGAGTACAATGAGCAGAAAAGGTCTACCTGCAATTTTAGCTGCTGTAGAGTGTGTTAATAAAAACTGGTTTTCTATATATATAGGCAAATATTCAGAAGCTCCAATAAAAACTAAAGATTCTGAAGCTTTGGTCAGAGCTAGGCATGTAAATATCGGATTCTTCAACAGAACCTGAAACAGAAATGTTATATACAAATTATTTTATTTTGTTAGGTAAATAATAATAGATTTATTGACTCACATGTTAATGACCAATCAGCAAAAATTTTACCTTTCCCAATCTAAAGTAAACATATATATATGTTTATATATAAATATATCAAAATTTGCAGTTCACCAATATACAAATAGTATTAAAGACATGTAGTGATTGAACCATTTTTATTTGACCTCCATACCACCTATAATTTTTATTTGTGAGTCTGGCAGTTTTCTAGAAACCTTAAGGAAAAATAGATATCATTATCCAGGTGTCTAGAATGTCCCTTTACCTTAGTTAATCTATTTCTTTCCTTAACAAATCTTTTTACTTAACTAAAAAACAAAACGAAGATAATTTAAGCAACACACAAGGAAAATCACTAGTATTACTGTTAAGATTCTATATTTTACTCCTGGGAATTCCACATACAGTGAAGTCACTTAAATGCTGCATTTTAGTCAATATTTTGAACTTATTCAGAAGCCTTATGAGAATGTATAGTGATGGTTTAATATTACACTATACACAGTAATTAACATGACAATAATTAACATTAAAATATTAACTTTCAAACTGATTTCTGTATTTCCTACATATATATTTATCTTTGAAAATTTCAGTGGTGTTTTATGTTTGTATATTGTTAACTTAATTTTTTTCTAGTTCTAAACACCATTTTTGAAAACTAAATGTATTCTCTATATTAATCTAATTCATCTTTTGAGTGCTATCCAAATTTACATAGTGTGATTCCACCATATTCATCCACTCCCACAAATTAGGCTCACTTCAACTCCCTCTGTCACAAGCAAGGGTATATTAAACATCCCTGGGCACCAGGTGGCTCAGTTGGTTAAATGACTGCCTTCGGCTCAGGTCATGATCCTGGAGTCCCAGAATCGAGTCCCGCATCGGGCTCCCTGCTCAGCAGGGATTTTGCTTCTCCCTCTGACCCTCCCCCCATCATGTGCTCTCTCTCTCTCATTCTCTCTCTCAAATAAATAAATAAAATCTTTTTTAAAAAAAAATAAAATAAACATCCCTGTGCATGCACCCCTAAGGACTAGAGTAGAATGTCTTTGGAAGTATATATCCCAGAACAGGATTGCTAGGGCATTAAGATGTACTATACTTCATTCCATTATTCCTCTAATTTTTTCCCCAAATGGTATCAGTTTACAATCCCACCATAATGTTAAGAGAGTCCTATTTTCTTCATGTAGCAACTTATTCCTTATAAAATTCATCAGAGCAATATTTTCAGTTCCACATTTTGAACTTTGCCATTCTCCCATCAGGAGGCACTGAACTGGGAAAGTCCTTTATGACTGTCTCAACAAAGCAAGAGATGCTGCATGACTTCTGAGGTTGGATCGTAAAATGACAATAGGACTTCTGCTGTATACGCTCACTCTCTCAGGACTCTGGCTTTGGGACTCTTTCACCATGTTGTGAGAAAGTCAAGGCCAGATGGAGAGGCCATGTGTGGGTGTTCCAGCAAACAGCCAGTATCAACAGCCCATAGTTGAGTAAACAAGCCTTCAGAGGATTTTATCCCCCAGACTTCACTTTAGTTGACAAGTAGAGCTGAGCAGAGTAAACCCTGACAAAGCTGCAGATTAATGAGCAAAATCACGTTCTATTACTTTAAGCCACTAAGTTTTGGGGTGGTTTGTCATATAGCAGTAGATAACTGCTACACCCCACATAATCACAAATACTTGATATTATTAGCTGGCTTTTAAAATTTTGCCACGCTGATGGATGTAAAGTCATGCCACACACCAGTGCTTTATAATGGTACTTTTCTAAATTCAAATCCAGCTGAACATTTCATCATGTAATTCATAGTTATTTAGGCTTGGTTATTATGTGTGAACTGCTTATTCATATATTTATTAGGCTTCCTGAAATTCCTGTATAGATTTTCCAAGAATTCCTTGTTTATTCTAAATACCAATCTCCTATTAGACTGAGAGATCTGTTGCTCATCTTTTAACATTGTCTGCAGTTTCTTTCATAGAACAGAAATCTTTGTCCTAATTTAATCCACTAATTTTTACTTTGTATTTTACACTATTACAAACTTGTTTAACCTTTCCTACCTCCATGTCACAAGATACTTCTTTCATGGTTTAGCATTAACTGTGCTGTTGTTTTGTTTTTTTTTTTTCTAGTCACATTCTATTAACCTAGAAATACCTTTGTGTCTCATACGAAGTAGAGGTCCAACTTCATGTCAGCATACAGAGAACCAAATTTGTTAGCACATTTACTGAACAACTATCTTTGTAGTGCCTCCCCTATCATATAGCAAGTTTTTAAATATATTAATCTGTTGCTGAGTTCTGTCTTCTGTTTCACTGGTCTATACCATGATTTTATAGGAATTGGCAATCTGTATTAGATATAACAGGCAGAATAAGGAACAAAAACTTAGCTTTTATCTTGGCTCTGCAACTGATTTTTGGAACAACAATTAGCAAATCATGTCTCCACATACCCTATTTTTAGGGAGTATTATATAATAGTAGATGGAGTAATGGTGTTAGAGTCAGGCACATGAGATATTTTTATATTCTTAACCTCAATTCAGCTACGTGTGTGTGTGTGTGTGTGTGTGTGTCCAAAGATATATATGTCTTTGGAAAAATTACTCATCCTCTTTAAATTACTGGTTCATGATCTATAAAACAGAAATGATAATATCTATATCTCCAGGTGATCATGAGAATGGAATATATGTGATAATCTAATTTCTAGCATCTAGAAGGTACCCAGGAAAGAATACACATCATTTTCATAATTGATAAGAGAGTCACACTAGATTATGAGATTTGTTGTTTGCAAATTATAGTGTGCTTTGAATCATTTGGATGGTGTAAAACACAGATTGCCAGGTCCTACTTTCAGAGTTTCTGATTCAGTAGGTTTACAACAGGGCCCAAGAATTTGCATTTTTAACAAATTCCCAGGCAATGATGATGATGATGATGATGATGATGATGATGGCCTAGGAGCTACACTAAGAACCACTGCACTAGATAATTTTTGTGTTTGGACTCTTTAGAGTTAAAATGAACAGACTCATAGGTTAATCCAGTTGATGAAACCTATTATAATGTTACACAGTAAAGTAAGAAAGCCAAAAACACTTTCTAAGTAGTTGAATAATTCAGCACTCATTAAGAAACAGAAAAAGATTCAGAAGCAAATGGCAGCTTATCAGGTCTGCTCTCTAGTGGGCCTTCCATTGCTTTGTCTTAATTACTACAAAGGCCCGGATATTCAGCTTCTTTCTGTCAGCTTATTGGGCCTATTATCTACTTCTATTATAGCCACTCACTATATTGTCTCTCCATTTGCTTCTCTATCTCAATGGCCTTTGCACACTCATTTTCTCTATGTCAGTTTATTAAACCTGTGTCATTTAAGTTTCCCAGCCTTTCTCCTATATATACTCTCCCAAGAAAGAGAAATTAACTGGTCAGTTTATAGCAGATCTCCCTATTGGATATTTTCTCAAGCTATTTAATAGGTTTTTGGGAAATCTAAGGATTGCTATCTTAGGTTCAAGTTCTGATCCCAGACCTAGTTTTAACTAGGACATTGGAACTACAGCATATAGAGCATGTCAACTCATGCACAAAGAAACACTTCTGGGCACTTTATTCAGAAAGGGCTATGGGCACTTTACTTAGAAAGAAACTGTGAGCATAGCAAACACTCAGAATACAACAGACCTTTCCGAAAAAATGTCCAGGCTTTCCTCTTTTTAAAAAAAATCTATTTTTTTCTTAAATGTAAATATGGGAGGCAAAGAAAAAGGCCAGACATAAAACCAGTATTCAAGGGATTTTATGTAATAAAATCAGGCTTAATTATGGTAGGTGTTGAAAAAGAAAAGGAGAAATCAAATTAGTTCTGCACAGTAGCAGATAATTTCATGCAACAGCCATTTCTTGTAGCACTGTGGCTCTCAGCCCTACTCCATCACAGAGTTTGTCTAAAATCATGGTCTTTACCACACCAGTGGAGATTCATGCAGGTCTGGGAGGTATGGTTGGATTCAAATGGTAACCAACCATTTGTATTCTGGCATATACTTCCTTAGTAAGAGTCTGAAATAAGGACAGGATCAGCAAAATATAAAGTAAACAGTATAGTGGACATAGACAAGTAGACCAAGATACAGGACAGGGTTCAAGTAGCAGTGGGAAACAAATGTTAATGAGGAAACTGATGCAGAGGAATGTTGCAGGAAGGAAAGAGCTCCTAAACGCCCAACCAAGGTTCATTGAAGATGGGGTGCATAGTGTCCCAATCAATTATGGAACTTTTTCTTTCATGTGGTAGAAGCATTAATCTACTTCCTACCCTAATCAAGGTAGCATGACAGTAGACAATGATCCTGCCAGTAAAAGGCCTTGGTGTCTACAGACAAATAGGAGGAAAATATAAGTTGAAGAGGGTATCAATAAACTTCCAATTTCTCAAGTGTTTTACTTGATCATTTAACTTCTCCCTTGCTCTGGTCTTGGTTCCTCATGAAGAACATCTATAATTAGCCATAGAAAATAAGTGATGGTTATCTTTATTAAATCTGTCAATAAGAGTAAAATATATCACCTAGAAAATGCTGCTTTTTCAAGTTTAAAAATGTTTCAGGCCTCTATTCTGAAATTTCACTTACTCTGCTTCTACAAACACCAATATATTTCATCACACCTAGTAGACAACTCAGAGACTGAAAATAGTACATGATGTCCTGACATAAATACAAGTAGTAAATATATCTTAAAAAATCATATTACTTCTGTCAAATGTATATTGATTCTAGTTTCTATGATAGTAATTCACCTGCTTTCAAAGAAAATTCAATATTTTGACTACCAATGTAAATATGGGATAATATCTAAATAATTTAGACACTAGCTTCCTTTGATATAGTCTGTCATCCATTTCTAGTCACACAAGTAATGAATAACACTTTAAATTCAATTGGTCCTTTACAGTTCAAAAAGTTCTTTTGGGGTGCCTGGGTGGCTCAGTGGTTAAGCGTCTGCCTTCGGCTCGGGTCATGATCCCAGCGTCCTGGGATCGAGCCCTGCATTGGGCTCCCTGCTCAAGCAGGGAACCTGCTTCTTCCTCTCCCACTCCCCCGGCTTCCACTTTCTCTCTCTCTGTCAAATAAATAAATAAAATCTTAAAAAAAAAAGTTCTTTCATATCATAATATTCATTGACAATTCTTTGTTCACTGGAGTTCTAGTATATAAATGCCTTCTCTGTTAATAAGATATGAGACTTAAGCATGAGATGAAGAAAAAGAAGGTAAAAGTGTTGATATCTCTGCTGCATACATTTAAAAACAGTTTTCTCCTATAAAATCTTATTCCTTACCTGCTTCTAGCCAGTCTTAATTTCACTGTTTTTTTTTCTTTTCCCTGATTTATTTCCCTAATTTCCAAGCTTTCTATTTTTATTCTTTTAAAATATATTTTTAACCCATTATATTCTGAGAGCTATGGAGAGTTATTGTTCTTATTCTTTGTTCAACTTTCTTTCACTCTCCCCACCAATCAACTACGCTTTAAACATACAAGTCTTCTCTAAACTGAATATTGCCAAAACTTTGCTGCCTCAAGGTGTTTCCACATGTGTCTCTTATGCCTGGAATTTTCTTAATGACCATTCATAATTCCTTCTCTTGCTTTAGGGTTTTCCACTTAAATGCTCCCTGTTTGGTGAAGCCTACTTTGACCCATATCTAAAGTACATTTTACATGGAATTTTCTCTACACAATTGTTAATCACTTGTTTTTAATCTGCATTATTTTATTTTATTTTATTTTATTTTATTTTATTATGTTATGTTAGTCACCATATAATACATCATTAGTTTTTGATGTAGTGATCCATGATTCATTGTTAATCTGTATTTTTTAAGATATGAGACCCACATAAGAACATAGCTCCATAAAGGCATGGGTGTTAGTATTATATCTTCAATGCGATTCTGCCCACAACATAAAGGATAAAATTATGAAAAAGAGAAGAGGAAGCAAATTGAATACAGAATCACTATTTAGAAGCTGGGTTTTTTTCAGGGCGCCGGGGTGGCTCAGTCAGTTGAGCATCTGATTCTTGGTTTCAGCTTTGGTAATAATCTCAGGGTCGTGGGATCAAGCTCCACGGCCCACTCCACACTGAGCGTGGAGTAGGCTTGAGATTCTTTTCCTCTGCACCCCCTTCTGCTCCTCCCCCTCTGCCCCTCCCCCTGCTTGTACTCACACAATCTCTCTCTTTCTTTCTCAAATAAATAAAGAAAATCTTAAAAATTCTTAAAAAAGAAGTTGGGTTTTTAAACCCCACTCTGTCTGTATTGTAGGCCTTGTTTCTCACCTAGAGAAGCAAAGGTTTCTTCTCTATTTGATATTGATATATTTTCCATAAAATATGATGTTTGCAAGAATACTTGCTAACTTTTAGAGTTCTCTGCTAAGTCATTTAAACATAATAAAAAAATGTTAATACTTATAAGTCATTTCATTAAATGTCTTATGCATTTCTTCATGGAAAGAACAAAAATAACACAAAAGTAAAATTAAAAGAAATAGAAGGAAAATACTAGTACCATCCTCTGATACAAGCCATGTTCCTGGAAATGCCACTTAGGTAAGGTCTTATTTTCCATTATCTATAAAATGACTAAGTTAATTAAGACTTCAAAAGTCCCACTCAGATTTCAGTTGAACACTTTATCGTTATTTTCTTAAATCCACTACAGGTCAACTTATTTGGCTTGTTCATGTAAAATATTTTACTTTACCCAAATACTAGCAAATAAATCCTTGATACTAATTCCAAATTCCTGATCTTTAATCTTTCCATCAAATGGATGAGGCTGTTTACGCTTCTCAGCTTTTCTCCTTGCTGTACCTATATGATAACAAGTAAAAGAATCTTGTGACATGTTTGAATAATTAAAACACATATACAAATATATGCACACATCTTAATAAACCCAGTTGTTCTTGAAATGACAAGTGAGCTATTTGTGAACAAGCTAAAGTCAATCTAATTAAGTAAAACCACATTCTCCTAAAACAGTGCTCTCATAAAGAACATTCTATGATAATGAAAATTTTCCATATCTGTACTGTCCAATACTGTAGCCATGAGCTATATGTAGCTATTAATACTAGAAATGTAGCTCCTGTGACTGAGTAAATGGGTTTCTAATTTTAATTTAATTTGAAATTTAAATAGCCACATGTGGCAAGTGACTATAGTATTTGACAGCACAGCCCTAAAACGTAAAAGAGTAATATTTGACATTGCTAAAAATATTTTGTGACAATAAAATGTACTACCGTTAGGAAAGTATTTGATTTCTCTAATGTTACATGTTATTTTTCAGTGTTTTCAAAAGAAGTTTAGTACTTATTATTTTATCTTACAATAATTCTTTCAGGTAGTACATGTATTAAATAATGCTAGGTAAATAGATTTAAACACGTTTCTTTTTAAAGACAAGTTATGAACTCTAGCATTTTAAAAAAATGACAAGAAGCAGAATACATACTAATGAAAATCTGGCACATAAATAAAATAATATTTGACCAGATCCAGCTTCATTTGCTCAAATAACACTAGCATATGTCACCATATCTCCATGACAAAAAGAAATGTAGTTCAGCCATATTCTGACACTGGGAGATGGGGGTGGGGCCGAGGAATCTATCGTCTTTTAATTAAATGAATTATATTTTTATAGTCACCTCGTACACTGTGTGGGAAGCATGACAATGGTATTAATGTAGACCATGCAATAAGTGAAACCAAACCAAAATAAATCCACCAATCCTGCAGCCAGCTTTGAATCACATCACTGTCTTCAACACTTTAACAGAGAAAAAATTAAAATTTTTAACATTGTGTATTTCATTACAACAATGCCATAATCAAACAGAAAGAAAGAAAGAGAGAGATGGAACATTTTCTGTTAATTTGTCCCTATCGCTTTGTTTTGCTGATTGTGAGTCCTCCAATTATGTAGTTTTCTTTTATCCTGCAGGATTCTAAATTTTTCCCTTTTCTTTCTTTTACCATGTCCACTCAGGTGGCAAAAGTAATTCTTTGTTCTTTTTGACTTTTTTCACCAGCAGAAGCCATGTGTTTGGAAGACTATCCCTTTAAATCTCACCTCTCCTTTAAAATCATTCCTGCCCCTTTAAATCATGCACACCCTTTAGGGCAAGCCTGGCCCTTTAAGGTACACAACTAACCCTTTATCTGGCATCTGACCCTTTAAATCACCTATATGTGGAAATCTCCTTCTTATAGTTCCTTCTCGGACTCAACTGAGATCGAATGTCAATTACCCTTCTAGTGATCATACCTAATCACCCACAGGACCCTTTGTTAGGCTTTGTCTTTCCTCTTACAGCAGTTTTTCTTGGTCTGCCTTTGCAGACTTTGCTGTAAGCAGGGTGGGATGGGAATGGGAAGGATCCTGTGCTGGGTTTGTTGATTTTCTCTTTTTACTCACTGTTCATTTTGCAGTTTCAGCGTTCTTTATCTTCAGTCATGCTAAGGCCATGATCTTGGGAAAATTTTCATAGTTGTGAAGTTATTTTGTATCATTTAGGGAGAAGATTTGGGGTGTTCATTACCATATAGCTACCACTGTCTTCAGTTCCACAGATATCTAACACCTTGTCCAACCATCTGTTGTGGGAAAAATACCTACATACTCAAGAACCAGTTTTGAAGGTGCTGGTTTCTCACAGGAAATTCTGTTGTCAACAGAGACCTGGTGAGGAGCTTGCATATAGACCTTGCCTTTCATAGAATGTGGAGAATATTCCGTTTTATTCATTAGTGGGACAGCCCTTTATCCATTACTACATTATTCAGGGGGTCAAGTTCCAACTTGCAATGCTACAAGGCTGCAATCTTGAATTCCATTATCCAATAGGTATACACATCTGAACATGTTATGCACAAGGAGTTTCAACTCTAGATTGTCACTAGGGCTACGTGTTGCCTCACTGACTATAATATTTAGAAATTTTCTTTTTTTCTCCTTTTGCTTTTGAATCCAGCTATGTAGTGTAACCATGTGCATTTTGCTACATTATTAAATATGTGTAAATAATTGATAACCAAGAAGACTGAGGAAATTAACTAAAAGTGTAAGCAAAGAACAAAGAAAAACACAAAATATAAGCAGAATTAAATACAATGCCCTATATATCAATAGATTTTTCTCCTACTAGAAATAATTAAGAAATCTAATAATATAAAGATTCCATGCACAATACTAACAAAAATACTTTAAATTACTAGGAATAAACTTAGTGGAATATTTTCAACAAGGAGAATCCTTTTCTGGAGAAATAAAAGAACTAAAATTTAATCAAGTCAAAATAAAAAAGGGTATTAATGAGATGCAATAAAAAATGGAGGCACCAACTGTTAGGTTAAATGAAGCAGAAGAATTTGTGATATAGAAGAAAAATGATGGAGAATAAGGAAATGAGAAAAAGAGAGAAACTCAACTACTGGATCATAAGGGGAGAATTTGAGAGATAAGTGATACCATAAAGAGAAACAATATTAGAATAATTGGGATCCTAGAAGAAGAGGAAAGGGTGGGGGCAGAAGGTATATTTGAGCAAATTATAGCTGAGAACATAATTAATCTGAGGAAGGAAACAAATATTCAAGTCCAGGAGGCAAAGAGAACCCCCCTCAAAATCAGTAAAAATAGGTCAACACCTCAACATACAACAGTGAAGCTTGCAAATCTCAGAGACAAAGAAAAAATCCTGAAAGCTCAGGACAAGAGGTCCTTAACCTACAAGGGTAGAAACATTAGACCGGCAGAACAGCTATCCAAAGAGACCTGGCAGGCCAGAAAGGACTGGTGTGATATATTCAGGATGCTAAGTGAGAAAAATATGCAGCCAAGAATACTTTATCCAGCAAGGCTGTCATTCAAAATAGAAGGAAGGTAAAAAGCTTCCAGAACAAACAGAAACCAAAAGAATTTGTGATCACTAAACCAGCAAGAAATATTAAAGGGGATCCTTTAACCGAAGAGAGGGCCCAAAAGTAACATAGACCAAAAAAGAACAGAGAGAATATACAGAAACACTGAGTTTACAGGTAATACAATGACACTAAATTCATATCTTTCAGTAGTTACTCTGAATGTAAAATGGGCTAAAAGCTCCAATCAAAAGACACAGGGTATCAGATGGATAAGAAAGCAAGATCCATAGATATGTTTCCTGCAAGAGACTCATTTTAGACCCAAGACACCTCCAGATTGAAAGTGAAGGGGTGGAAAACCATTTACTATGCTAATGGACATCAAAACAAGGCTGGGTGGCAATCCTTATATCAGACAAATTAGATTTTAAACCAAAGACTGTAATAAGAGATGAGGAAGGACACTAGATCATAAGTAAAGAAGTCTATCCAGAGGTGCTCAGTTGGTTAAGCGACTGCCTTCGGCTCAGGTCATGATCCTGGAGTCCCAGGATCAAGTCCCGCATCAGGCTCCCTGCTCAGCAGGGAGTCTGCTTCTCCCTCTGACCCTCCCCACTCTCATGCTCTCTCTATCTCATTCTCTCTCTCAAATAAATAAATTTAAAAAAAAAAAAGAGTCTATCCAACAAGATCTAACAATTGTAAATATTTATGCCCCTAACATGGGAGCAGTCAATTATATAAACCAATCAATAACAAAGTTAAAGAAACATATTGATGATAATACAATAATAGTAAGGTACTATAACACTCCACCTACTGCAATGGACAAATCATCTAAGCAGAAGATCAACAAGGAAACAAGGACTTTGAATGACACATTGGACCAGATGGACTTCACAGATATTTTCAGAGCATTCCATCCTAAAGCAACATAATACACATTCTTCTCAAGTGCACATGGAATATTCTCCAGAATAGATCACATACTGGATCACAAATCAGGTCTCAACCAGTACCAAAAGTTTGCGATCATTTCCTGCATATTTTCAGACCACTGTGCTTTGAAATTTCAACTCAGTCACAAGAGGAAATTTGGAAAGAACTCAAATACATGGAGGTTAAAGAGCATCCTACTAAAGAATGAAGGGGTCAACCAGGAAATTAAAGGAGAATTTAAAAAATTCATGGAAACAAATGAAAATGAAAACTCAACTATTCAAATCCTTTGAGATGTAGCAAAGGCGGTCCTAAGAAGGAAGTATATAGCAATACAAGCCTTTCTCAAGAAACAAGAAAGGTCTCAAATACACCACCTAAACTTATACCTAAAGGAGCTGGAGAGCAAATAAAGCCTAAACCTAGCAGGAGAAGAGAATTAATAAAGATTAGAGCAGAAATCAATGAAATAGAAACCAAAAAAAATAGTAGAACAGATCAATGAAATTAGGAGCTGGTTCTTTGAAAGAATTGATAAGATCAATAAACCCCTGGCCAGACTTATCAAAAAGAAAAGAGAAAGGACCCAAATAAATAAAATCATGAATGAAAGAGAAGAGATCACAACCACCACTGAAGAAATACAAACAATTATAAGAACATATTATGGGGGCATCTGGGTGGCTCAGTTGTTAAGCATCTGCCTTCAGCTCAGGTCATGATCCCAGGGTCCGTGTCAGGCTCCCTGCAGGAAACCTGCTTCTCCCTCTCCCGCTCTCCCTGCTTGTATTCCCTCTCTCACTGTCTCTCTCTCTGTCAAATAAATAAATAAAATCTTTTAAAAAAGAACATATTATGAGCAACTATATGGCAACAAATTAGGCAATCTGGAAGAAATGGATGCATTCCTAGAAACATATAAACTACCAAAACTGAAACAGGAATAAATAGAAAATATGAACAGATCCATAACCAGCAAGGAAATTGAAGCAGTAATCAAAAATCTCCCAACAGAGACACCTGGCTGGCTCAGTCATTTAAGTGTCTACCTTTGGCTCAGGTCATGATCTCAGGGTCCTGGGATCGAGTACCGAATTCGGCTCCTCACTCAGCAGGTAGCCTGCTTCTCCCTCTGCCTGCAGCTCCCCCTGCTCTGCTTTCTCTCTCTCTCTCTCTCTCTCTCTCTCTCTCTCTCGTGCGTGAGCAAAAAAAAATAAAATCTTAAAAAAAAAAAAAAATCCCAACAAAGCAGAGTCCAGGGATGGATGGCTTCCCAGGTGAATTCTACCAAAGATTTTAAAAAAATTAATACTAACTTTTCTGAAGCTGTTTCAAAAAATAGAAATGGTAGGAAAACTTCCAAACTCTTTCTATGAGGCCAGTATTGCCTTGATCGTAAAACCAGACAAGACCCCACCAAAAAGGAGAATTACAGACCAATATCCCTGATGAACATGGATGCAAAAATTTTCACCAAGATACTAGCCAATAGGATTCAACAGTACATTAAAAGTATTATTCACCATGACCAAGTGGGATTTATTCCTGGGCTGCAAGGGTGATTCAACATCTGCAAATCAATCAATGTGATACACTACATTAATAAAAGAAAGGACAACAATTGTATGATCCCCTCAATAGATGCAGAAAAAGCATTTGACAGTGTACACATCCTTTCTTGATTAAAAATCTTCAAAGTGAAAAAAAAAATCTTCAAAGCGTAAGGAGAGAGGGAACATACCTCAATATCATAAAAGCCATATGCAAAAAGACTACAGCAAATATCATTCTCAATGGGAAAAAACTGAGAGCTTTTCCCCTAAGGTCAGGAACACAGCAGGGATGTTTACTCTCACCACTGTTGTTCAACATATTACTAGAAATCCTAGCCTCAGCAATCACACAACAAAAAGAAGTAAAAGGCATCTAAATCAGCAAAGAAGTCAAACTCTCACTCTTCACAGATGACATGATACATTATGTGGAAAAAACAAAGACTCCACCAAAAAATTTCTAGAACTCATATAGGAATTCAGAGAAGTGGCAGGACATAAAATCAGAGAAATCAGTTGCATTTTTAAACACTATCAATGAAACAGAAGAGAAATTAAGGAGTCGATCCCATTCACAATTGCACCAAAAATTATAAGATACCTAGGAATAAACCTAACCAACGAGGCAAAGGATCTGTACTCAGAATACTATAGAACACTCATGAAAAAAATTGAAGACACTAAGAAATGGAAAAACGTTCCATGCTCACGGATTGGAAGAACAAATATTGTGAAAATGTCTAGGCTACCTAGAGCAATGTATACATTTAAAGCAATCCCTATCAAAATACTATCAACTTCTTTCACAGAGCTGGAACAAATAATTTGAATATTTGTATGGAACCAGAAAAGAACCTGAATAGCCAAAGGAATGTTGAAAAAGAAAACCAAAGCTGGAGGCATCACAATTCCAGACTTCAAGCTCTATTACAAAGCTGTGATCATCAAGACAGTATGGTACTGGCATAAAAACAGACACACAGATCCATGGAACAGAATAGAAAACCCAGAAATGGACCCTCAACTCTATGATCAACTAATTTTGACAAAGCAGGAAAGAATATCCAATGGAAAAAAGATAGTCTCTTCAACAAATGGTGCTGTAAATGTTGGACAGCCACATGCAGAAGAATGAAACTGGACCATTTTCTTATACCATACACAAAAACAGACTCAAAGGGATGAAAGACCTAAATGTGAGACAGGAATCCATCAAAATCCTAGAGGAGAATGCAGGCAGCAACCTCTTTCACCTCAGCTGCAGCAACTTTTTGTGAGACACGTCTCCAAAGGCAAGGGAACCAAAGGCAAAAATGAACTATGGGGACTTCATCAAGATAAAAAGCTTCTGCATAGCAAAGGAAACAGTCGATAAAACCAAAAGACAACCGACAGAATGGGCGAAGATATTTACAAATGATATATCAGATAAAGGGCTAGTATCCGAAATCTATGAAGAACTTATCAAACTCAACACCCATAGAACAAATCACGAAATGGGCAGATGACATGAACAGACATTTCTCCAAAGAAGACCTATAAATGGCCAACAGACATATGAAAAAATGTTCAACATCACTTGGCATCAAGGAAATACAAATCAAAACCACAATGAGATAGCCCCTCACACTGGTCAGAATGGCTAAAATTAACAAGTCAGGAAAAAATAGATGTTGGCAAGGATGAGGAGAAAGGGGAACCCTCTTACACAGTTGGTGGAAATGCAAGCTAGTGCAGCCACTCTGGAAAACAGTATGGAAGTTCCTCAAAAAGTTGAACATAGAGTTACTCTATGACCCAGCAATTGCACTACTAGAAATTTACCTCAAAGATATAAATGTAGTGATCCGAAGGGGCACCTGCACCCCAATGCTTATAACAGCAATGTCCACAATAGTCAAACTATGGAAAGAGCCCAGATGTCCATTGACGGATGAATGGATAAAAGAAGATGTGAGATATATATATATATATACAGACACACACACATATACACACACACACAATGGAATAGTACTCAGTCATCAAAAAAATGATATCTTGCCATTTGCAATGATGTGGATGGTATTTGGCTAGGTCTAGAGGGTATTTGGCTAAGTGAAATAAGTCAATCAGAGAAACACAATTATCATAGGATCTCACTCATATGTGGAATTTAAGAAACAAAGGATCATAGGGGAAGGGAGGGAAAAATAAAACAAGATGAAATCAGAGAGGGAGACAAACCATAAGAGACTCTTAATCACAGGAAACAAACTGAGGGTTGCTGGAGGGGAAGGGGTTGGGGGGGATGGGGTAACTGGGTGATGGACATTAAGGAGGGCACGTGATGTAATGAGCACTGGGTATTATATAAGACTGATGAATCACTGAACTCTACTTCTGAAACTAATAATATATTATATGTTAATTGAATTTAAATTTAAAAAGGAAAAAAGAAAGTTATTCTAATTATAGTCTTCAAAAGTTTTTGTCTTTTTACTGTAAATTAGCTAGCACTAAGTATTCAGAATCTTTGCTAACTATATATAATATAATATAATGTAATATAATATAATATATTATAATATCTAAAATAATAATGGATAATTGTATCATTATAATAATATATTATATATATATTATATATATCACTGTTACCATACTTCAGTCGTTAAGCATCTGCCTTCAGCTCAGGTCATGATCCCAGGTCCTGGGATCGAGTCCCATATTGGGCTCCCTGCTCAGTGGGAAGCCTTCTTCTCCCTCTCCCACTCCCCCTGCTTGTGTTCCCTCTCTCGCTGTGTCTCTCTCTGTCAAATAAATAAAATCTTTTTAAAAAAAATAAAAAAATAAAAAATAAATTGAAATTGGACATTACATTTATATGTACAACTAAAACCAGACAAGGACACTAGAAGAAAATTTCAAGCCAATATCCCTGATGAGCACAGTTTCAAAAATCCTCAACAAAATATTAGGAAAATGAATTTAACAATACATTAAAAGAATCATACACCATGATCAAGTGGAATTTATTCCAGGCATGCAAGGATGGTTCAGTATCTGCATATCAATCAATGTGATACACCACATGAACAAAATGAAAGATAAAAATCATAGGATTCTGTCAATTGATGTAGAAAATCATTTGACAACTTCAGCATTCATTCATAATAAAAACTCTCAACAAATTGAGTTTAAAGGAAACACACATCAACATAATAAAGACCATATATGACAAAGTAAGATCAGAAGCAGGAGAAGGATGCCCACATTTAGTCAACACAGCACTGGATGTACTAGCCAGATCAATTGGTCAAGAAAAATAAATAAAGGCATTCAAATCAGAAAGGAATGAGTAAAACTGTCTCTGAAGATGACATGATCCTAAATATAGAAAACTTAAAGATTCCACCAAAAAACTGTTGAGGGTACCAAGTCATGACACCATTCTATCAAGTCAGCTATTATTGGATAACAGGTTACAGAGTAAGACCAGTGAAATCTGTAGTTGTCATACTGTCACACTTTTTTGTCTTATCAGATGCTCCCTTGTCAGAGGCAGTATTGTGTGAAAACCACAGGGATGAATATGGCATCTCTAAGTCTTTGAATGGTGCTGCTAGAAGAAGCACCATATGTAGATGTTACAGACGAAATGTTTAGACATTTTTCCAAAGAAGATAGACAAATAGGCAACAAGTAAATGAAATGGTGCTCAACATCACTAATCATTAGGGAAAAGAAAATCAAAACTGCAATGAGCTATCATCTCATAACTGTCAGGATGGCTATTAGAAGAAGAAGGAGAAGGAGAAAGAGAAGAAGAAAGAAAAGGTGGAGGAGGAGGAAGAAGAAGAAAGAGAATAACAAGTGCTAGCAAGGACGTTGAGAAATTGGAACCCTTATGTACTACTGGTGGGAATGTAAATGGTAGAGCCTCTACTGAAAATAGAATGGAAGTTCCTCAAAAATATTAAAAATAGAATTACCATATGATTTAGTAATCCCACTTCTGAGTATATATCCAAAAGAATTGAAAATAGAATTTCAAAGAGTTATTTGCTTATCCATGTTAACTGCAGCATTATTCACAGTAGCCAAGGGGTGGACATAATAAGCTAAATGCCCATAGACAGGTACATGGATAAAGAAGTATGATATTTACATGCAATGGAATATCATTTAGCCTTAAAAAGGAAGCAAATAGTAGCATATGCTATAGCATGGATTAACCTTGAGGACATTAAGCTAAGTAAAAAAGCCAGTCACAAAAAAGACAAATGCATGATTCCACTTATATGAAGTATAAAATGTAGTGAAAATTGTAGAAAGTAGAATGGTGGTTTTCAGGGGCTGGGGAGAAGTGGGTAAATGGCAGTTACTGTGTGATGGATACAGAGTTTTAGCTTTGCAAGATAAAAAGTTCTAGTGATCTGTTGTACAACAATGTGCACATCATTAACACGACTGTACTATACACTTAAAAATGGTTAAGATCGTAAAGTTTGCGTTATGTGTTTTCTCCACAATTTTTCAAAAACTACATGTAGAATTAGTAATAAAGTTGTCATTATAAATAGTGTTTTTAAAACTACATTTCAAACAGTAAAGATAAAAGTATATATTCTAGATTTATATGTACATATATGTGCATATCAGTCACATTTACATACGTTTTTCTTAAAAATATGATTGTTACAAATTAAATATATATGTTTACAGGCTACAGTATTTATCCAATAAATATTTTATACAACGTAAACAACAAACAAGGAAATAAAACAGCTTACCTAATTGCAGAAGTTCTGTTCTCAGAGCCTTTGATGAGGGGTGCTGCTATCACATAACTCAAAGAATAGCCGAGTACTACTGAAGCTTCCATTATGCCTATAAAGTGAATACTGAACATCAAACAACTACATAAGCGAGTTTGTCATGATAAAAATTATATCACTGAAATAGATGACTTCTGAAAGCCTCATGTCATACTTCCTTAGTCAGGGTCCTCCTGAGAAACAGAACCCATAGGATATTGAGAGAGAGATTTTTAAGGCGTTGCCCCATACAATTATAAGGCCTGGCAAGTCCAAATTTGTAGGGCAGGCCAGCAGGCTGGTAATCCAGGTAAGAGTTAATATTAAAGTTTTGGTCCATACTTAAGCTTAAAACCCACAGGGTGGGTCAGGAAGCTGGAAAAACTCAGGCAGAGTTTCTATCTAGCAGCCTGGAGAAAGAATTGTTTCTTTTTTGGGAAACCTAAGTTTTTGCTCTGAAAGCCTTCAACTGATTAAATAAGGCTCACCCACATAGAGGAGAGTAATCCGCTTTACTCAGTCTACTGACTGTATTACTCACATCTAAAAAATATAGCAGAAACATCTAGACTGATGTTTGACCAAACAAATCTAGCAAAGCTGACACATAAAATTAACCATCATATATATACATATATTATCCAATGCATATATTAAAGAAACTTTGATAAGGTAATTATATAATTTACTGTATCTTATTTCATCTATATATTTAATATAATATAAATATGTTTACATTTAATATAATTATAAATTCAATATACCTGATTACACTTTGTGGTACCTTTGTATACTTCACCTTAGCTGCCATGGTGGCAGGAGGTGGCAACTTTTTGCAGTGCATTTTAATTACTATTCGGTAGATGTGCATTTTAATTACTATTCAGTAGAACCAAATATAAAACAAACAGATTTGTTGCCACCCTCAGCCAACACTAGTAAATCACTGCAATTTTTTTTCTAAAAGCAAACATAAATATGAATATCATCTATTTTAATTTATTGACATAATTTTCCTTACTTCTGGGGGAAAAATAATTATTTTGGTGCAAAATGCTATGTTCTCTAAAGTCACCTTCACAACACTTTAAATTTTTTTTAATTTAAAAAAATATATGATAGATAACTCTGTACAGATAGATGATCTACCAAGACCATAGCTATTGCAACATAAAGAAATACAGATTATCATGAGATATACCCCTGGGTCACTTACTGTAGGATACCATGGCATAAAAGATTAGAAATAGAAGATACTACATTGTAGTCAATTAAATAGCATATCACTTCTCTCCTTGATAGGATGAACAAGATTATATTTTCATTAACTTCAAAATATCTGAGCCCCACAAAAGTGAAGTAAGTTAATGCATGTAAAGAGCTTAGTACAATGATGATGATGATTTCAACACCACACTGAATCAAATACTGAGGAGGCAGGAAACAAATTTTCTGTCCCCTTATGAACATGATGGCAGCAACTTCTCCCCTATGTCCTCAAAGTTTAAACATACAACTATTCAATTAAATCTAATAATTTGAGACTTTTACCCAGAGAAATTAAATGCAATCTATATAGTTTAATACGACATATATATCAATGTTATATATATTATATATTTTAGACGTAATACTTAGAAAGAGTGTAGTTTTTATTACTTAAGAAAGTATATCCTTTTCCTATTTTTCTTTACCTTTTTGAGGACTTTCAGATGACTTGTCTACAATTTCAAATCTTAAGCAATTCCTCAGAATTAGGCAGCTCAATGTGATTTTGAAATCAAACATACCACTTACCATTTATTATAATGTTATTATAAGGGCCAATAATTAGCACTCACGTATCAGTTTAGATATGTACACCAAGATGTGAAAGCTCAATAAAAGTTCAAAACTGGCCGACCATATGAGGAAAAGAAAACTTGCCTAGGTAAATACCAGCTGAGTGTATGGCAACACTGTTGTCGATAAAGACTGTTCCAAGGATATAAAGAGGCATTCCTGCTACTCCCTGCAGAATCTGCCCCAGGATGAAGGAAGCTATATACTTTGCTTGGAATGATGGTGCCTCTTTATTGCAAACCTTGTTAGTCTTCATTTCTTGGCAAATATCTTTTGAAAAGATAATTATTTTTTGTTAAATGAGTCAAAAATGATATGCAGTATCTCTCATGCAATATTTCACCTTTTACAAAGTTATTTGCACCAGTGTGCCTTTTTTTCCCACAAACATTTCATTTACACTGAAGGTAGCAGTTCTAAAATCAGTCATTATATTCTCATAAAAATGTAATTATAAAAGGAATTTTGTGGGAATACTGGAAAAGATGCATATATTATAAACCAAATATAAATGCGTATGCACAATAACATGTATATACACAATTATGTGTGCATAGGTGTATATACATATACACACATACACAACATACATATGTTCCTCTTAAATTTGGCAACTGGTATCCCTGACTTTTGACGCCCAGGAAAAAGTATTTCTTTTTTTTTTTTTTTTTTTAAAGATTTTATTTATTTATTTGACAGAGAGAGACACAGCGAGAGAGGGAATACAAGCAGGTGGAATGGGAGAGGGAGAAGCAGGCTTCCCGCCGAGCAGGGAGCCCGATGTGGGGCTCGATCCCAGGACCCTGGGATCATGCCCTGAGCCGAAGGCAGACGCTTAACGACTGAGCCACCCAGGTGCCCTGGAAAAAGTATTTCTAATGTTCTAGATTATCTGTATTATCAGATTATTTTCTGAGTTTAGTTCTATATCCACTTCATCAGCAATCTTCACATTAACTTTGTGTCACTCTGTTTAAATAATTTCCCTTTTTAGGGCACCTGGGTGGCTCAGTCGGTTAAGTGTCTGCCTTCGGCTCAGGTCATGATCCCAGCCAGGGTCCTGGCATGGAGTTCCGCATGGGGCTCCCTGCTCAGTGGGGAGTCTCCGTCTCCCTCCCCCCTGCTCATGCTCTCTTTCCCTCTCTCTCTCACTCTCTCTCAAATAAATAAAATCTTTTAAAAAATAATAATAAATAAATAAATAATTTCCCTTTTTAGACCCACTAATTTCTTCTCATAAAGAGGAGGCATTATACAATAAAAATTTATTTCCATTAAAGTTAGTCATTATATGGCAAGCCATTAGATTTTAAATTCCTTTAGGTGGCCGTCTATTTCTTATGCTTTTTTTATTCACATGGTTGTAAAACAATAGCAAGTAAATGTTTCTTAGAATTGCATTTGTTATCAGATTGGTAGATCCAGGCAATGCTATTAGATCGTTCTGATTGTGTCCATTTTGATGGGAATTTAACAAACACTCTTAAAGTATTTTTGTGGAAAACTGGCTAGAGTGCAGATTGCAATTTAGTACACTAATGGAAATTTTCATCTGGGTCAGTACCCATATCAAATGCTAGTTGACTCCATGTCAAGTGGGAGGAGTTCTTTAGAATTGTGATTCAAAATACTGATGATTCAATTTAATCAGATATGTTAACTTGTGGTGATATCAGTATCAATGTGATATTTTAAATGCCTGATCTTAGTCCTTTGAATTTTTCTCCTCCCATGTACTTGTACTCCACTTAATTAATTTTAAACTTTCAAAAACATTAACTACAAACCTTTCTTAGTTGCAATTTCAAGCATTCCACATTCAAAACATCCCTATCTTTCCAGCTCACTTCTGGTAACCCAATTCCAACAATCCTTAAAACCCACTACGATTTCGATACTGCTCCTTTCGCCATCCCAATATCCTCTTACGTCCTTCACTTCTCCCATTGTCATTTTAGCACTTCTAAATTCCTTGCTCTCTTATCAAGCAATCCCTTGGTAAAATTGCAAACTTCATCAAATTAAACTCTTCTCCCTACTCCGCTCTTATACTTGTAAAGCTGCATGTGGATGGGAGAAAATACACAACCATGCAAATCTCACTTTGAATTCATAATTATTAAACTCAAGGAGGTCATTCAGCCTCCTGATAATCAAATACATCCGTAGTCTGCTATTCCTGCCTTCTCCTGTAAAATTCAATTTGTTTGTTTCCCTTCCCCTAGGGATCATGGTCCTGAGATTCCTGCTGTCCAACATCTGAAAATAAATGTTTTCCACCAAGAGAATAAAATATTATAAATATATGTGAATATTATATAGTTCATATATTGAGGATATATATCAACATATTATTTAATAATAAATGTTCTATAAATTGCATTTAATATGGAATATTTATTTGAATTGTGGTCACACATCATAAACATACTTTTAAATATCATAAGCATGTATATACACATACATACACACATGGAGACATCCGCATGGCTTTTTCCACCATGTCTCGCTAAAGTCCAATTTAAAGTTGCCAAAATGGGTAAATCTATTTTAACATTGCTATGAACTATACACAGCAAGAAAGTACTCAACACAATAGTGCCAGGAATAGTGCTGTGGAACTTCAAAATAGCCTTTGTCTACAAGCAATAGCAAAAAGATTGTGGAATAAATCTTTTTTTAAGATTTTATTTATTTATTTATTTATTTGACAGACAGAGAGAGAGAGAGAGCACAAGCAGGGGGGGCAGAGGGAGGGGGAGAAGCAGGCTTCCTGCTGAGCAGGGAGCCCGACGCGGGGCTCGATCCCAGGACCCTGAGATCATGACCTGAGTTGAAGGCAGATGCTGAACCGACTGAGCCACCCAGGCGCCCAGAATAAATCTTTCTAAAAATGACAAAGTGAAGAAGCCACTAATCTTTTTAGATTCCAAGTCCTACGCCAAAGGGCAGCTCCCATTTTGAAATGGTAGGAGTCTGATCTTTCTTTTTCTGTGTGCTTATTTATGTATTTATCTGTGCTCTTGTGTATGTGTGCTGAGGTCAGAATAAAGGATTAAGGAAAGCATATTGTGGAAGACATAAGGAATTACCAAAGTTCTCAAGAGATTTATAATACATATGAAAACTGACAAAAGAGAAACAATTTCATAAAATAATGATCCCAAAATATTCCTTCTTCTTCCTATGCCTATGTCTTACATGAAAGGATATATGATCATGAGAAGATAAGAGAATGGCATATATACGTTAGTAGGGAGCTACAATTAAATAGCTTAATAAACTTGGTAATATACATAGACACAGATGGATGGATGTACAGACAAGTATTACAGTCTATTTTAAGTTCCTAAAGCCAATATTTAAATGAATAATAATTTGATGCACCTTTTATAATCTTACCTCCAATGGCTACACTTGCTTTATGATCTCCAACACTAAAGTATGGAAAAGCAAATAAAAGTGATCCAAGTCCTACTAAAAAGGAGGAAAATGTAATCCATCTTGGTATGTTTCCTCTCCCTCCATAGTATGATATAAACACTACTATCAGGCAGGATGAAATATCATAAGTCAAAGACAACAATAAATTCTCCATGTTGCTCAGATGATTGTCCTTCTCAAAAGTGTCAATGCTCAGATCTATGAGACCAAACACAATACCTAAAATGTAAAAAGAAAAAAAAGAAAGCAATAATATGCATTTTAAGAAACAAAATAGAACACCATTATAATCATTACAAGCCAAAACAACTTACATTGATTTAAGTTTATTTTACATTATTCTGACTGTTTAAGATCCATAAGCACATGATTTGTTTTCTAAAATACGAATAGGCCTTAACCTCTATGAAATATTTGCTAATTGAATTTTTATACCTATTCTGTACCTATTTAACTGGAGAATACTGATCTTTTTTAGTCATCTTACTTAGTACTGATCTTTATTTTTAAGGATTTTTTCTTTAGTTTTACTAAGTTTTACTAGCAAAACTAGTAAAGTTTTACTTTACTAAGATTTTATTCTTAGTACTGATCAATTATAAAAATGAATAAATAACAGGGGCACCTGGGTGGCTCAGTTGGTTAAGCATCTGCCCTTGGCTCAGGTCATGATCTCAGGGTCCTGGTATCAAGCCCCGCATCGGGCTCCTTGCTCAGCAGGGAGTCTGCCTCTCCCCCTTGCTCATGCCCTCTCTCGCTCTCTTCTCTCTCACTCTCAAATAAATAAATAAAATCTTTTTTAAAAATGAATAAATAACAATCTAATGAATATTTATCTACCACCCACAACAGGAAATAAAACATCAAAATATCTGAAGCCCAGCATGCACTCCCCAAACGCATTCTTCTCTCTCTTTCCATAACCCATATTCTATATTTGAAGTTTATAATTTCTGACTCCTTTATTTTTTTTAAAGATTTTATTTATTTATTTGAGAGAGAGAATGAGAGAGAGAGAGCACATGAAATGGGGGAGGGTCAGAGGGAGAAGCAGACGCCCGATGCGGGACTCGATCCAGGGACTCCAGGATCATGACCTGAGCTGAAGGCAGTCGCTCAACCAACTGAGCCACCCAGGCGCCCCTCTGACTCTTTTAAACACTTCTTTTTTGACAACGTGTATATCCTTGAACAATACAGAGAACTGTCGTGTTCCTAAACATTAAGTAAATGGTATTACATAGGTGCATTCCTATCCCTTAGTATCCAACCAGGAAAAAAACAATTGTACTAAATACTTGAAACATAAAGAAATTAATGCAGAGGTTGGTTACAAAAATAACACATTTGTTGGAGTGAAAAGGGAAAAGAGTTACCAATCAAAACTCATGATACCTATAAGGCGGAAGTTGCTGGAGCATGGGCTGCTGCCCCTGGAACTGCAATCGCTCTCTCTTTTGCAGGAGGCCAGGACCTACACTACTTACTGCTAATGCTTTGAGAGACAACTCACAGTCATCCACTGCTTCTGCCGCTCTTGCATTTGCAGAGCCAGAGCCATAAGCACTGGCTGCTGAGGCACCCACTGTTGGCTGCTGATGGAGCTGCAGAGATGCCTAAGCATAAATCCAGGAGTTCTTATTCACCCAGGATTGCTGCTATCGTCAAAAACACCACCACAGAGAGGAAAAAAACAACAAAAAAAGAGGCTTTCCTTTGCCCCCTTTTCAAATCTACTGCCATAGCCTCTCATTGGCAACACCAAGTGGAAGCCAGTGAGAAAGAAAGGCTGGAAAATGTAGTTTACAGCCTCCTAGGCCCCTCTAAATAGGCGTGAGTCTAGACCACAAATAGTGAAGTCTATGGCCAACAGACAAGTAACTTGCAGAGTTCACCTTTTAGACCACTCAGGATTCATTTTCACCTTCTTCCTCTATTTAAACTAGCACACCAAAGTAAGAGCAACATCCTCATGCTTCTGCCTAACATTGTGCAATTATCATTCTTACAAAGATGTTCTTACTCTTTCAAAAAAACAAAAACAAAAAAACAAAAAAGAGACAGAGTTCAACCAGTCATCATATCCATCACAAGGTAATTTTACTCCATCTTCTAGTTCAATCATAAACCTAAATGGATTTTCTTAATACAAAAAGTAAATTGCAAAGGTATAAATGGTATAAAAAGGTATGAAAGGTATAAATAGACTTAACTAAATTTGTGAGGGAACTGTACTGAAAAAGGAACTGTAAGTCAGACTTGGAGCAACAACAGTTTAACAGACCAAGACCAGCAGGAAACAAGATATAAAAACTTGGTTGCATCAAAGAGAAGAGTTCTCTTCAACTCTCATTTTAGATGTGGCCAAAGAGGATAATGGCCAAGGAAAGAAATGTCACTAAATGGGTCCAGCTCTGGGGTTGGGGTATTAATTCCCCTTCTCAGGGATATTCTGTAACCCAGAGATGAATTTGTAACATTATCTCCCACAATACTCTTTTATAAAATAGTAAGGGAAAATGAGAAAAAAAATCGGAATACACACACACACACACACACGTATATGTTTATGTATGGGTGTGTACACATAAAACAAATAAGAAAAAAATGCATAGTTGCGGCAGTTTCTATTTCTCTAAATGGTTATGCAAACACAGTTGATAACTTCCTTCTTCAATTATTCACTCCCTCTTCTACTTCTTGATCACACATAACATATGTAGGTTGCTATCTCCAAGCACCCCCAATTTTTTTAATTGTTGTCTCCTAGCTGGACCTTACCTGAGTCTTCAATAGGACATTATAATTATTTATAAGGCCAAGAGTTTCTGGTTATTGAAATATGTAGTAAGATTAGTGAATTCCATGAACATGAACTTCCTGATATTCTTCTTCTCCTATAAAATGAGTTCCTTCATTTAAAGCAATGTGATAATAAATAAGATGACCATGATGGTGTATAAGGCATTCAATAAGGGCAATAACCACATCAGCACTGGTAGGGATAAATCCATGCATTCAGCTCTTGCACAACCTCTATTCTTGATGCAACTGTCACTATAAACATGAGCCCATTGAACAAGACATATAATGACTGGGGAACTTTCACAGGATGGTTACCTATCTCATTACTGAGAGCTTCCTCCGCAATGGATTTCTTTTGGTGAACATCCACACAGGATAACTCTGCCCATTCAAAGAGACCTGCCACTTACCCAGCTCTCCTAGTCACCAAATGGTCAAACCATTAGGCAATGGCAGCATGGTATCTAGGCAATATGGATCATCAGATGTATTGCTCAATGGTCTGCCCACTGGAAAGATTTCCTTTTTCCTCTATTTTTTCAGGGTCTGCCCTGAGGGGAGCTATAGTGCTACCATAACATACTTCCATCTTCAAAAAACAAAAAACACAAGTTCACTGAAGATTATGTCTCTTAACTGTGAGTGGAACAAGTGAAAAAACGTTTCCTTCATTTTAGAAGACGTAGCCCTCACACTCCAACTGTTCTCTAGAGACATCAGTGCAGTGGCAGGCAAATTTGGGGTGTATAGTATCTCCCAGGGTAGACTTTATGTTAGTCATTCTGGGAAGGCTGGGATCTAATTGTAGTTATGAGTCTGGCAGCAATAAGGGGTAGTAGGGTGGATCATAAGGGCAATCAGCATTCCCTTAGCTTCAGTGAAGTAAGTTCGGTGTCTTCAAAAAAGGAATTGCTTTTTCTTCAGATATAAGAGATATAGTTGCTCTTACTGGGAAAGGAGGTTTAGGATTTGGGGATTTATGGTCCTCAGATTCACTGAATTCTAGCCAAATGCCTTCATCCCAATTCTTAAGGTTCCACTCTTCTCCAATCAATACCTCAACTCTAACAAAAGTGATCTGGTGAATCTGTGCATTGAACTTATGTTGTAATTCTGAGTTGGAACTGTTCAAAATATGCAGTGTGTAGCTAAAAGTGATGAGATTCTCATAGAACCATCCGAGAAGCTCACACATGCCCCTAATCATGCCTTAAACTTCTTATTTTCTTTCTGTAAACTTTCCAGAGCAGTCAGAAGCAATTGATCAACCCCAAAACCTTCCTAGTTGAAAGTTCTACCATAGAAGTCAGTCGGAGAAGCCATTCATCTCCCAAAGTCTTGCCTTCAATGAGAACTCGATTTTAGGTAACATTTTAAATAACGTCACTACATGACATAAACATCCAGTATACTATTTTCCACAGGCACAAATATTGTTGTTTTCATTGCTTTCAAGCCCAATCAGGTCAGATAACCAACTTCAGATTCCATCTTTGATGCTTTGTTTTTTTTCCTGGTTCAGTGCCTGGTAATGGAGTAGTATGTAAAAAAAAAATCCGAAGATTTTTGTCATTTATAGACAAGTTTTACCATATTGGTGAAGCTAAAAGCTTATTTGAAAACTTTTCAAACACCTTTATACTATATATCATAACTTTGAAAAAATAAAAGAATATGATTCTTGATATGCACTCACATACTTTAATTTCTTAGCCATACTTACCTCTAATAAAATGTTATTCATATTTTTTCTGAAGAATATATTTTTACTATGATCTTTTTTCCTAATTGTTCCCATGAAATTAGCTGCAATTCAACCACATTGCTTTGTATAGTTTTGCAGTGAAGTGTTAACTCAGCAGGCCTTGGTTGCTTAAAAAATGCCTATCTTCAAGACTAGCTTTTGGTTGGCTCCTGGAAGATGACTCTGAGCCCTTGGAATATTTTGCCTGAGGCCATGGACCACACAGAACCAGTCTGATCTAACAGTTTATATTAAACAAGGTTTAAGGTGAACATCTGTTATATGCCTAAGGCCTTGGGCCATGTATCAGTTTGATCAGATAATTTATGCTAACAACATCATTCCTGCTAAACGTGTATTTTGTTGTGCGTGTAGGAGTGGGGTAATGGAGTCTGAGTAACTAAGGTCAGTCTCACAGATGCTGCATGCTTACATGACTGATGACCCCAAAAAAAATCTGGACGCCAAGGCTCACATAAGTTTGTCTGGCAACTGTTTACATGTGTTATCACCCATTGTTTGGGGGAAAATTAAGCATGTCCATGCAATTCCACTGGGAAAGGATACATGGAAGCTTGGACCTGGTTTCTTCTGGACTTTGTCCCATGTGCCTTTTCTCCTTACTTATTTTAATCTGTATCCTTTAATTATAATAAGTCATAACCATGAATATAACATCTTTCTCTGAGTCCCACATCCTCCTAGTGAATCATTCAGCCTGAATGAGGTCTTAGGGGCCTCCAACATAATAGTTAATAAATGTGAAGCCTCCAAATGACTCTCCACTGTAGATCACATTTTAATTGAGAAAACACTCTCTACAGGTGCATAAATATCCAGTAAGCTCAAGGAAAATACTACTAAATAATGTATGAAGTTCTTTTTTTTCTATTGAAATATTTCAGCCAAAATACTCCATTCAGAGAATTTTTGACAAATACCTTATAAGACAAAACTCTTCAAATAAGTTGTTTCTGTTTATGATTATTTTGAATGTTTCACCAAATTCAAATGTGCAAAGCCATGGGACTTCTTAATTTCATACCAAAATATGAAAGTGAATCAATGTAATTCATTATATTAATATAATAATGGGCAAAAACCACATAAACACACACACACACACAAAAAAAAAGAAAAAGCGTTTTTTTAATTTTTTAAAATATTTTATTTATTTATTTGATAGAGAGTGAGAGAGCACAAGCAGGGGGAGCAGCAGACAGAGGGAGAGGGAGAAGCAGGCTTCCCGCTGAGCAGGGAGCCCAATATGGGGCTCAATCCCAGGACCTTAGGATCATGACCTGAGCCGAAGGCAGACGCTTAATCAACTGAGCCATCCAGGCACCCCCAGAAAAAGCATTTAACAAAACCCAACACACTTTCTTAGTAAAAATACTCAATGAACTAGGAATAGAAGGCAACTTCCTCAAACTGATAAAACATGTATGAAAAACCTACAGCAATACTTAAAAAGTGAATCATAAAGCTACTATAGGACCCAGGAATTCCACTTCTGGGTATAAAACCAGAGAAATGAAAATTTGTGTCCGTACAAAAACTTATATACCATTCCAGTTCTACACGTAAGGAGCTTGGAAGTCACCATTCTGTCCTAACAACTGTCTGTTCTGTCTTAGTCACTATAATTAATGAATAAAACAAATATAATGACTCCTCTTGGTGCTTAGGTGAAACCATCATCCAAGCCAAACTCATCACTCACCATTCTGGAACAAGGCTTTCCTGTTTCTGAGTGTTTATTTATCCAAACATTCATGCATTCATTCATTCATTCATTTATTTCCTTATACAATAAATACTCCTTAACTGCATTCCAGCTATGACAACTGTACCCTATTTATCAGGGCATAATTCAAATGCCTCTTCCCCAAGAAACTTCTTTAATAAAATCAAGATAAAATGATCATTATTTATGTGTTCTTCTCATGTGATCCTTATCACATACAGCTTTTTTATTGTACTTACTTAGAAATAACATTTTAGAGCAAAAACAGAGATCATGCCTGGCAAACTTCAATGCCATCAGTATAAACAGGATAGTAAAGAATCTGAAGCATAAAGGGAGTGGTGAGTGCCATGGCCAAGTAAAGAATGCATACCCCCTCTACAAGCATTCAAATTCACATTCTTTAACTGTGTGGGCAAAGATAAACAGTTTGGGTTCTCCGATGTAGGTTGTTTGAGGTCCCACTTCACCTCCTCAATTCACAGGTGAGGATACCAAATGCAGGCAGGGAGCAGCTTGGCCAGCCAGTCTCAAAATTGTCAGCAGAAGCAGAAACAAACTTGTGATCACAGACACCGGATTCCATTTTATTTTAATCCCCCCAAATAATTCAACCCTGAACTTCCCAGGCAGGATCCGTGACCAAACAACGTTAAGTGACTCTGCAGCACCTTCCTATCTGGAGGTCAGGCCCCTATCGCCGACACCGTGTAAGGGGGGCTGTGTCACCCCTGGGCCCGCCGAGGTGAAGCAATGACAGGGGCCCACACCCAAGGTAATGGCCCGTTTAACCTGTTTCGATTCCAGACAGATCTCGAGATCGTGAGAGACTCGAGCTGCTTCTAGCTGGGTCACCCCAGGGCGTCCCCCACTCACGCCTGCCCCTCTCCCGCCTCCGCCACGGCCGCAAGCCCACTGCGCCCTGGGGCTGCCCTCCCCAGAATGACCGCCGCCCCCACGCAGGCTCACCTTGAGAGGTGATCAGGAGGCAGTAGAAAACCAGGAAGCAATGGATGTTGTTGAGGCGCTGACACCTGGGGAAAACTATACAGCCCAAGCCGCAGGGCGCCTCCAAGTTTTCTTTTGTCTTCTTCACGACGGCGGGCGTGGCCCCAGCCTGGCCCTTTTCGGTTCTTTGAAAAGCATGGAACTTGATCAGGCTCAAGGGAACTGTCTTCAGAAGCCGGGTTTTCTTCTTGCCCTTCTCCGCCTCGGGCGTCAAGGTAGTTTCAGCAGCCTGGGTGCAGGCGACCTTCGGCTCCACTTCCGCGAGGGCGTCCGGCATGGCCGGTTGATGGCCTGCGGAGGCGGGGGTCTCGGGTCACCGACGGTGCGCGGCACTGGGCCAGCGGAGGTGTGCCCTGTTGTCTCCAGGGGCTTCGTCCTCTAGCAGCTCCACTGAAAGGCCAGCAGGCCTGGACGTGTGCGGACTGGCGGCCACCAGCGGCGCTGCAGCCCAAGCCTCCAGAGCGAACGTTTCTGCTTGAGCGGGAAGCAAACGTCCCCGGAAGGTTGACAGTTGCCCGGGGAGAAGTTCCAAGGCTGTTTCCTTCTCTGCTTCCACGTGGGGAAGAGGAGTGGGGGGTGGGGAGGGAAGGGAGCTAGTACCACTAGATTCTGACGTTGCCAACACAAGCAGGGGGCACCACAGTAACTCTAATGGAAGTCAGAAGGTGCTAGATTGAACACTTTTTCTTAGGAAGCAAGGAAGAAATGTGCAGTGAGGCGGTGGTGGAACTGTCCCCCAGTTTCCCCAAACTCATCTTATTGTAATGTTTTTTGAACTGGATGATCTCACTATAAACAACCTGAAAATTGTTGAAGGACCACGAGAAATCAGACACGTGAAAACGACACTTCTACCATATTTAGAGAAACCAGCAAAGATCACAAAACAATACCCCAATGAATGTTCTTAAGTGTTTTACACATAGGAATTATTGTCCTAGAAACTATCCTTAACCAAGAATAGAAAGGATTACTATTTTCCTCCCTAAGGAGGGGGATGGGACCCAGGGTGTGTTTTACTTTCTCAGGTATAAAAAGTTTACTGAAAAGAAAGAATATAGGAGACAGTAGTAGAATATGAAACTTGAATATTTTTATGGTAAAAATTCACCTTCTTATTGGCTTTCTTTTCTCAGGCAGAAATATAAGTTATTCAGGCCATATAAATAGGCTGGATGACTTTACAGGAGAAATGAAACAATCTTCCTTCCAATAGAAGGGAGGTATGTTACTAAAAACAACCCAGGTCTTCAACAAAATTTTGTGCAGCCAGCAAGTGCTAGGGCTGGTAGACCAGGAGAAAAACCACCGAGAAGAGCTGTGGAGGAGGGTACCACATACCTCCAACCTGAACCCTCAGCTTGCCTTACTATATACAAATCAGTAGGTGGAAATGTTATTTTGCCTTTTTTGAGAGACCCAGTTTGTCAAATATATGCTCACTACATAAGTAGAAAAAATGCCCTAGTTTTTCCATATTCATCATACTCAACTAGGGTATCCCCTCACATTGCTTCATGACATTAATAAGTATAAAGGAAACAGGATGCATAGGAGGGAGGAAAGTGGGGCTACTCATTCTTGTGCTTTGGTACCCAACTGGGCAGTGCATGAGAGCAGAGGGAAAAAGATGGTTCTGTTCAAGAGAAATTATTCTAAGATTTTTGCTTCTACTCAGAATATAGAGAGCCAAACAGAATGTTACCTGGCTCTAACAACAATAACCAAAAGAAAAAAAAAAAACCTGGATATCATAAAAAATTATCACTTTTTAAGCCCATTGGAGAGCGACATTTGCAAAGCAACCAGGGGAATTGCTTCCAGAGGAAAGCAAAGCCCTGAGAAGAAGGATGAGACACACAAACTCGTTCACTTGTCTCAGAAGGAGGAGGTAGCAACCATAAAAGAAGATAAAAAGAAAACATTTGAAATCTTAATTAATTCTTAAAGGACAAGTGAGGGGTAGCATAATAGTTTAGAAACCCTGGGAACCTCAGAAACAAGGGGAATCCACACCCACATATCAGATCTCTGCCATTTGACAGAGCAAGAGAGCCCTCCTTAATGAGGAATGCATTTGGCGGTGGTAGGCTGATACTGAGGGAGAAGCAGGGACTCTTGCTTACCTTCCCACTCTAAAGTGTTATGTTCCCGAGCCTTTTAACAAGCAAAGCCAAAGCAGTTCTGCCTCTACAATAATAGATAGAAGAATCATCACTTCCAGGTGTAAATACACTGGTCTGCAATACACATTCATATACAATGTCTGAAAACTAGTAGTAAGTGGTCTAACACATGTATAATTGAGGTACCAGAGAGAGGTAATGAGGTAGAAGAAATAATTGAAGATTCAATGGTCACAAATTTTACAACACTAATGAAAGATGTAGAACCACATAAGCAATAATCTCAGAAAATCCCAAGCAAGATAAATACAAAGAAAAACATATCACATTAAACATATCACAGTCAAGTTGCTAAAAATCAAGCCTAATTAGAGAAGTTTGAAGGAAGTCAGAGAAAAGAGAAATATAATTTTTGAGAAACAAATTTTAAAAGTAAATTATGCTAAAAATAAGTAAATAAAAACTTTAAAAATTAAATAAGTAATAGTGAATTATACTATCAGAAACTATGCAGTCCAGGATATAATGAAACTCTATCCTTTACCTTTTACCTTTACGATCCTTTACCTTTACCAATTCTTTATCCATCAAAATATCTTTCAAAAAGATGTCAGGAACTGTAAAAAAAAAAACAACTCAAAATATTAGCAAGTCACACCCAACAACATATGAAAAGAACTATATTCCATGATCAAGTGGAATTTATTCCAGGAATACAAAGTTGGTTTAACATTTGAAGATCATTTAATTTAATACACGAGATTAACAAAAGGCAAAATTTACCTGATCATTTTAAGAGATGCAGAAAACGCATTTGAAAATATTCATCACCTTTTCATGGTAAAAACACACAAGCAATTAGGAATACAAGGGAACCACCCCAAACTGATAAATACTATCATACCTATTGACCTTTGACTTGCTTCCAGGTTTATTTGAGTAATCCTTTATACAAGAAACAACTGTGTGAAAGTATAGTCATATTTTCAATAGCCAGTAGTCAATATTTAAAATACCCATGGAGAAAAAGATGATTTAGCCCTTTAAGAAAGTAAGTCTGGAAATCACCACTGGAAGCAGCAAGTGACAGTCATAAAAAGATATGTTCTTTTCACTGTAACAAAGAGTATGAGCTAAAAGGTGAGGGCAACCACACCTGTAGTGTTGTTTACTAACATAATTCCCTGCTGATAGAAAGATGAGGTCCTAAAGGAAGTTCTGCCCATGTAAAAATTTCGCATTTTTTTAATGGTTGTTGTTTTGATCACAAAAAAAATTTTTAAAGCCCAAAGGAGTGTGAAAATGAAATAATAAGTGGTGCCTCACTAATTTCTTTCCAGTTTTAGCCAGAAATGAGACCTTTGAAGTTTTTGAGTCTGTAAGAAACCAAAGTTATAGAGGAGTACTGTACGATAGAAATAAAATGCCAGCACATACGTAATTTAAATTTTTCTAGTCCCCACCACAAAAAAAATGAAAAACAGGCAAAATTAATTTGAGTAATATATTTTATTTAACCTAATATATCTTAAATATTAGCATTTCAACATATAATTAATATTTTTGAAATCATTAATTACTAATGGACTATTTTATATTCTTTTATTTCCAGTAAGTCTTTAGAATTAGTTTGTATTTTATACTTACAGGACATCTCAGTTCAGACTGGCCACATTTCAAATACTTGATAGCCATATGGGGCCAGCGGCTACTATAATGAAGAATGTGATTATAGAGGCTCCTTTTCAGTTTGAAGAAGTTTATAAGTTATTTGGGGGCTAAAATGTGTTTAAATCACAGAATTAATAGCAATTCTTTTACTATATTTTATAACGATGTTTTCCCATTTTTATAATAATTTTTTAAAGCCAGCTAAATGATTTCATTGTGTCTTTTTCTTTTTAATAATAGCATTTATTTGAGTGGAGAAATGTCTAACTATAGGTTTTTATGATATAATAGACGGTACTGCCATCCAACCCCAAGGATTGTAGGCTAAGTATTTAAGAAGAAATAACAGACCTTTGTTTGCCTTGCACGTTTAACCTTAGTAAACATCACACTGAACAATCCAAGTTGGCTATCTTTATTTGATGGTACAAGGTTTGCATAAAATCCCAATGTATGGATTTGCTATAATTTAGCCACTCCTATATTGGTGTTTCCAATTTTGGCTTTGACAATACTGAAATGGACATCTTCATAGGTAGAGTATTTTTCTGAAAGATGGGTCACTCATTTAAAACAACTTTTTTCTTTAAATTCTATTATGTTATGTTAGTCACCATACAATACATCATTAGCTTTTGATGTGTGATCCACGATCCACTGTTTTCGTATAACACCCAGTGCTCCATGCAGTACGTGCCCTTCTTAATACCCATCACCGGGCTAACCAATCCCCCCTCCCCCCTTCCCTCTAAAACGCTGTTTGTCTCTCAGAGTCCATAGTCTCTCATGGTTCATCTCTCCCTCCAATTCCCCGCCCCCCGTCATTTTTCCCTTCCTTCTCCTAATGTCCTCCACATTATTCCTTATTTTCCACAAATAAGTGAAACCATATGAAAATTGACTTTCTCTGCTTGACTTATTTCACTTAGCATAATCTCCTCCAGTCCCATCCATGTGGATGTAAAAGTTGGGGATTCATCCTTTCTGGTGGCTGAGTAGTATTCCATTGTATATATGGACCATATCTTCTTTATCCATTCATCTGTTGAAGGGCATCTCGGCTCTTTCCACAGTTTGGCTATTGCGGACATTGCTGCTATGAACATTGGGGTGCATATGGCCCTTCTTTTCACTACATCTGTGTCTTTGGGGTAAATTCCCAGGAGTGCAATTGCTGGGTCATAGGGTAGCTCTATTTTTAAATTTTTGAGGAACCTCCACACTGTTTTCCAAAGTGGCTGCACCAACTTGCATTCCCACCAACAGTGTAAGAGGGTTCCTTTTTCTCCACAACCTCTCCAACATTTGTTGTTTCTTTCCCTGTCCATTTTTGCCATTCTAATTGGTGTAAGGTGGTATCTCAATGTGGTTTTGATTTGAATTTCCCTGATGGCTAATGATGATGAACATTTTTTCATGTGTCTGTTAGCCATTTGTATGTCTTCTTCAGAGAAGTGTCTTTTCATATCGTCTGCCCACT